ATGCTCCGTTATGAAAGATAACTGAAGTAGGTGTACTGTTAGGTTTGTGCGGTAATAGACAATTTCTGAACTGTTCTATTTTAAACTCTTTCTAAGCTAAAGTAATCGCTATAGGATTAAAAACTAATGGGCATAGTACTAGTACCAGAGGGAGACTTTGTACAAAAGTCGATTGCTTGGGTATTTCTGTCCCATTCGTGTTTCAACCGTGAAGCAGTGTGTTTGCATGGCTGTGTTTCGGTTTGAAGGGTGGGATATGGTGAATTTACTGGGTACAGAGGAATAACACCCGAGTCCTCAGGAATGGCAACGCATGGGGGGTATCATGGACGAAACAGTATACTCTGTTATGTGCATGGTACTGCTCATGTCTATAGGCGACGGTTACCACTTTCCATCAGGTGGGCCATCAGCTTGTTTGCTATTCTAAGTTCTATAAAAAAAAATCGCAGATGCAGTTTCAGGTATCATCATATCAGCTTTTAACTGTCCATTATTGAACATAATTCTCATCTTGCGGGGTTTTGCCAGTAGTTGCCATGCTTGGCAGGCGGATTGGCAACCGCAGTCAGGCATTAAAGATGTTTTAAGTGGGACGCTGCTTGTTTTACAAGCACTTTTAAATCGTAATTTTTTAATCTATTGTTGGGTTCGGAAGGTTGTTACCTATTGAGAAGAAGCCCGCAAAAAACTCGACAGTTACTCTTTCAAATCTCATGTTAACATTATGTGTATTTATTTAAATGTACTGTGCCTAAAATGACATGGTTAAAAGCATGTTCACGATCGACTAACACCATGCACGCCTGTCTCAAGAAAGTTCTTCAATATTGGTTTCTCATATTAATTTTGTCGAAATTTATATTTTTATTATGCTGTTAAACTTAAAAGTGCCAGCTAAAACATTTCTGCAACACATTAACTTCCGGTGTTGGCAGAAAAAAAAATAATTAGCAAAAGAAAACTAATTATGATAATTGGACGTTCGAGGCTGAAGCTAATTAACCGGTATTAACTGGTTATTGGCTACAAATAATTGTATTTATGAATCCGCTACTTTCTGAGATGCCTTACACCAAACCATCATAATAAATGTATAAATGAGACAATGGGATCCATATTGTATATTGTTGGTTCAAATCGGTTTACCAAAAACTTTTGTCTTTAAACTTCAGACTAACTCTCCGGTAATTCAAAAATTATTTTGAGTAATAGAGGTGGGTAATATATAGCTATATATATATATATATATATAACTTAGAATGGCAAACAAGCTGACGGCCCACCTGATGGAAAGTGGTAACCGTCGCCTATAGATATGAGTATACTGCTCATCTCTATAACATGCGTTGCCTTTCGACTCAGGTGTTATTCCTCTGTACCCCCCCATATTCCTTCAAACCGAAACAGCCATGCAAACAACTACTTCATTCATGGGACAGAGGTACCCAAGCAATCGACTTTTGTACAAAAGTTTCTCCAAAAAATAATATTAGATAACAGACTTGACATTCCAAAATAAATATCTGACCGATTCGTTAAATTGAAACCAAAACGCCATCAATGTCAGAGCCTATCGGTTACACATAGACTCGTACGTAGTGACAGCACTACCTAACGACTAGCTATACTCGACTCTAATGTCACACCTTAGATTCTAATATTGCTTAGACGTGGACATCTTCATCCTTACATGCGACACAATGGCAACAGTCGGCAAATGTCTCTGATTATAATCGTCACATTTATTTTATCAATATGTAAAATTTTTATCAAATAACTCGTTATCTAATCGTGGTATCTCGAACAGCATACTTGATATCACATAGATAAAGCATATAAACAAACATCTAGTAAGATGGTAACATTCTCATGGGAAACTTCATGCCGATGATTTTGACGTATTTTTTTTTTTATATTTATACTGACAAAATCATTTGTAATGTGTAACAATCAACATACCAGATGTCACTCAGTCGACAACATTTACCAGAGAGAGACTGTACAAAAGTCGTTTGCTTGGGCATCTCTGTCCTATTCGTGTTTCTACCATGAAGCAGTTGTGTTTGCGTGACTGTGTTTCGGTTTGAAGAGTGGGATATGGCAGTGAATTTACAGGGTACATGTAGCGCGTTGTTTGCCATTCTAAGTTGCATAGAAAAAAGAACAGCCGAAACTACTAAGTCTATAAAGCTTATATTTGCGACATAGGTTTATTTTAAAACGTATATATCCGCTAAGAAAAGATTTTTGAAAATTTTAACTTAATAGAAACTATATACGACCAAAGCCACGGACAAAACAACTATTTACATAATTAATTTGTCAACAATTTACCTTTTAGGCGTTTATTTTTAGCGTTTTTATAATAAGTACATAAATAACCATGATCTTATTGAGTCTTCCGAGAAATTTTGATGTGGCAATTGTTTATCTACAAAATTAATGGAAAAAAAATTATAACACCTTCGAGACTTCTTTGTTTAAAGAGTTTTCTTCAGGGTCGGCAACGCACGCGTAATATCTCTGGTATTGCAGGTGTTCATAGGCTACGGTAACCACTTACCATCAGGTGGGCCGTATGCTTGTTTTGCCACTTCAGTGGTATTAAAAAAAAACCTTCGAGACTATTGGGCAAACTGAGAAATAAGTAGGCGGTGCATTTTTGAATAGAGGAAATTATATAGGTACATACATAGATGAAAGATTTTTTAAAATTTGTTGAATAGTTATTAAATTTAACCAACCTAACAAAAAATCTTTATACATTATTCTTAAAAAAAAAATTATCCATTACTAAATATTACACATCATTTATTAAATTTATTTAAAGTTTAAAGTAACAGTTTGTGTTCGCGCTCCGATGAAGACCTACTGTCCACATGACAGTTTGTCCACCAACAGGGCGCCATAGCGATACGTATGATGAAGACATGGCGTTCCCATATAGCACCATGTCCACCAAAATAACGTTACATTGTCTTCAAGCTATATCCCCTATCATTTATACATAGAATCTAATGCAATGACGCCTGATCTTTTTACATTTGCTCTATAACTAGGATCAAGTATGTTACTGGCTGAATTATAAAATATTAATATATTTTTAATGCAGTGTTCTATTATTAAATTTGGCATTTTTGCCAAAGAACCTTTCCCAAAAAAATCACAAATTTATTGCTATCACTTCTTCCATACTACTTATTTGACGCCTGACTCGTGTGCGGGTAATAAATTATGAGGTTTTGTTGTTTTCAATTAACATTAAAAAGAAGGTTTTTAATTCTATTGTTTTTTTTTTTTATAAAAAAAAGTATATTCTAATTGATTCTATAGAATTTTTTATTTATAAAGTGCGGTTTAATAATTTTTAATTAAAATAACTAACTGGTCTTGCCACAATTAAAGTAGATTTTTTTATAATCATTTCTTGTCTATGAAAACTGTGTTTTTTACTAGTAAAACACTAATAAAAGGAATCCGATGATTTCTTAAAATTTAAATTGGAATAAAAGAAAAAAAATCCATACATGCATCATACCACAGAGTTAGTATTAAATAAAAATACTTACCATTTCTTACCAAAATACTTACCAAAAAAAAAGGTTAATAAAAAACCTTTTTTTTTTTCCATTTAATTGTATAAATCATTTGTCATTCGAGTAACTGATTAATCAAGCCTTTTGAGGTTGTGATTTATGGCGTATTGCTTAATTGGACAAAACCATACTTACATAGTAATCACTACAAGACCGGTACATATAAAAAAACAACTTGACCCACATTGTTGAAATTCCGTTGACATTTTTATACGATTGAGTCGACTTTATATAATTTATTTTTATATTTTTTTTTTTTTTTAAAATCTTTATATTATTTTTTTATAAAATAAAATGCTAAATTATTTCGAATTGTTACAATTTGTCATTGTTACATTTGTCAGTAATCTACATTCCAAAGTTTTTGTCTGTACTCTTTTAATAAACTCTAAAGATTTCTAATTTTTAGGGTTCCGTACCCCAAAGAAAAAAACGGGACTCTTATAGGATCACTTCATTGTGCAATCTGTCAAGATCCTTTTTCTTAGGAACGCGTGAAGGTATCAAGTTGAAATTAATATCATATACTTAGGTCTGCGATCTCTTAAAGCAGTGGAAAAATCAAGTTTCTAAATCGACGCAATCGAAAGATACGGCCGTTTATATACGAGTACCATTTATATCGCATATTTTGACATTCGCAAAGGGAATTAAACCCTATGATAGGGTACTTCCCGTTCACCTAGAATTATGAAATTTGGCAAGAAGCAATATCATCATGTAGCACAAGTAAAGGAAAAATAACACCATAAATATTTAGTTATTTCACAAAAAAATATTAAACTTGATGATTTTGTGTTGAACCCTCGTTGTGCTAATCAGATTCGCACTTGACTGGCTTTTTTCTATTAGACTATAAAGCATTGTAATCTCTGAATCGCATCTCGCTGAACAAACTCGTTGTTAACAATAGATCGTATCGGACCATCGCTCTTTGCATAGAAAGTTTCTCGCGTATCTTAGTATTATTCTATCTCATGTTACTTGTAATATACTTGCTTCTTTAATTCAAATCCGCGCCATACAACGCCGACCTGCCTTGATATGTGGGATAAATATTGGCGCCGAAACAAGAAACTTGCTCGGCACTCTCTTCTTATAAGGTGTTGTTACATAAACAAGAAACATAGGCTGACTGCCCTCGTAAGGAGTTGTTTTTGCTGTAATTAATACAGCAATACGTCAGCTTATGTACCGGTTTGGTACGCGGTCGATAAGTAGTCGCGACCTCATAAATATGCTAATGTGACTGTGTCCGCCACGTCACCCAGGAGAACGGTGACTCATCCCGGCTTACGCACCCTGTAATCCCGTACCCACTCGTGCTAGCTACTTTCCCTAACATTGTATATGCCCCTGTCGTATTACGTCATTTGTAATAAAAATATTTTTTTGTTCCAGTTCTGGGAGATCATCTCCGACGAGCACGGTATCGACCCCACTGGTGCCTACCACGGGGACTCTGACCTGCAGTTGGAGCGTATCAATGTATACTACAATGAGGCCTCCGGCGGCAAGTATGTGCCCAGGGCCATCCTGGTCGATCTCGAGCCCGGTACCATGGACTCTGTCCGCTCAGGACCCTTCGGACAGATCTTCCGTCCGGACAACTTCGTGTTCGGACAGTCCGGCGCCGGCAACAACTGGGCCAAGGGACACTACACAGAAGGTGCCGAACTCGTAGATTCAGTTTTAGACGTCGTACGAAAAGAAGCAGAGTCATGCGACTGCCTCCAAGGATTCCAGCTCACACACTCCCTCGGTGGCGGCACTGGCTCCGGTATGGGCACACTCCTCATCTCCAAGATCAGAGAAGAGTACCCCGACAGAATTATGAACACATATTCAGTTGTACCCTCGCCCAAAGTGTCAGATACAGTAGTAGAACCATACAATGCCACACTCTCAGTCCACCAGTTAGTAGAAAACACAGATGAAACCTATTGTATCGACAACGAGGCTCTCTACGACATCTGTTTCCGCACGCTTAAACTATCAACACCCACGTACGGCGACCTCAACCACCTGGTGTCGCTCACCATGTCCGGGGTCACGACGTGTCTCAGGTTCCCTGGTCAGCTGAATGCGGATCTCCGCAAGCTGGCCGTCAACATGGTACCCTTCCCACGTCTCCACTTCTTCATGCCCGGTTTCGCGCCGCTCACATCCCGCGGCAGCCAACAGTACCGCGCCCTAACCGTACCCGAGCTCACTCAGCAAATGTTTGATGCCAAAAACATGATGGCCGCCTGTGATCCGCGCCATGGACGTTACCTAACTGTAGCCGCCATCTTCCGTGGCCGCATGTCCATGAAGGAAGTCGATGAACAGATGCTGAACATCCAGAACAAGAACTCGTCATACTTCGTCGAATGGATCCCTAACAACGTCAAGACAGCCGTTTGCGACATTCCGCCACGTGGTCTGAAGATGGCCGCCACTTTCATCGGCAACTCGACCGCTATCCAAGAGATCTTCAAGCGTATCTCTGAGCAGTTTACTGCTATGTTCAGGCGCAAGGCTTTCCTCCATTGGTACACTGGTGAGGGCATGGACGAGATGGAGTTTACTGAGGCCGAGTCCAACATGAACGACCTCGTTTCCGAATACCAACAATACCAAGAAGCCACCGCTGACGACGAAGCCGATTTCGAAGAGGAGCAAGAGCAGGAAATCGAGGACAACTAAACGTCTTCAACCGCCGACTTAAAACCTCTTTCTGCTTCTCCGTCACTTGTAACCATCCCCCGCCCGTGTCGTACGGGCTATCAGCATTTCTTTGCTTTAGTATTTTGTTTTAATCATAGTGGACAACACATTTTGTTAACTAGGGAGTCCGTTATCTGTAACACGAGTCGCGTTTACATTCCCCAGTGTTTTCCTTGACCGAAGGGCGGCTCTTGGATGTTTATCTCATGTAAACAGATCCTTTCACGACGTGGCCCCTTCGACTGACCGTGTACGGTGCTGTGAACACATTGATGACACAAAAAAAGGAAAAGATCTTTTTTTTTTTTTTATAAGGCTGAACTTGATTTTAAGACCTAAGTTTAATTTTTATATGTAACCAGTGTAAGTTTACATTGGCTTTTTATCAAAAAAGCTAACAACGTACCGATTTTTCGAAGTCTATCAAAGTTTTTCATTATATTCCAACTGGTGAATAATAAAATTACAATTTTATTTGTTTGTTTCATTTTTAAACAATATATTAAATGTAGTTATCATGCACGTTTGTCTTGTAGACATGTCTATCAAGTTATATGTCTATACTCATGATCTGTAAAACCTTAATTCAAAGCCCATGGGTTTTTTAATGGCATCCCCATTGGAATGGTAACCTCGCCTGTGCTTTCGGTATACACTGGCGGGGCACCAGTCATAGAGGACAGGTGAGGATAAAGCAGCTCATCCCATTGTGACGAATCTAACGATAAATCTAATCACGATGGCTTCCAGGGGGAACCACGAGGAGGTCGACCTGACAGGTTATATTGCTAGCAATGGTGCTACTAATCCCCATTACTAACAATCTCTTCCCCCCCAAAGACGACCATTACATCTCTTCCGTTGTCCCGTCAGCTACATTTATGTACGTGAGCTTAAAAATGATTCGCAAACTATCCCGTGGCTGAATTAAGATATAACCTACCCCTGTAAAAAATTTCATTCAAATCTGTTCAGTAATTATTACATTCAATTTTCTAACATCCATCCGTCGGAAGAACTTTCATTTATTATATATAATACTGCTTATTTAAAAGCAAGTAAATGATGAATGACCTATAAGCAATAACATCTACAGGTTATGGTACAAACAGAATGTAATCTACCCGAATCTATTAGAGAACCGATACAACTTAGAATGGCAAACAAGCTAACGGCTCACCTGATGGAAAGTGGTAACGTCGCCTATACACATGGTACCATGGACATAACAGAGTATACTGTTTCGCCCATGATACCCCCCATGCGTTGCCATTCCTGAGGACTCAGATGTTATTCCTCTGTACCCAGTAAATTCACACCATATCCCACCCTTCAAACCGAAACACAGCCATGCAAACACAACTGCTTCACGGTTGAAACACGAATGGGACAGAGGTGTCCAAGCAATCGACTTTTGTACGGTCTCTGGTATAAAACCAAACCAAGCATGGTAACTACTAGCAAAACCCTCTAAAGGGGAGATTTATATTCACCAATGGACAGTTAAAGGTTAAAAAAAAAGAACCGATATTTAAATTCAGATGTATTTGCTTTTAACATAACTGAAACAGCTTTGTTTTGAAGATAACGCAATATGGTAAACAAGTTTTAAAAGTGTCTTGTAAACTTAGAAACAAAAATAAAGTTACTCAAACTTGTTAAGTTAGCCCATCGTGCCGAATTCAATAAGAATTATGGTATGGTAACCCCGTATGCGCTATCGGTATACACTGGCGGGGCACCAGTGAGAGATGACTGATGAGGATGAAAGCAGGTCAGTTAGCCCATCCTGACGTATTCAACTAGGATTAGCCACTATGTTTTCCAGGGGGAACCACGCGGAGGTCGACCTGACAAGGTGGGTATATTGCTAGTAATAGGGCTATTTGACCCCATTACTAACAATCCCTTTCTCCCCATATATTCACAATGGTTTCCAGGGGGAACCACGTGAAGGTCGACCTAATAGGACATAATGTTAGCAATGAGGCTGTCAAACTCCGTTGCTAACAATCCCTTTCCCCACTTTTAAAGTGATTGGTTGATCCATTACCATAAGTCGCCATAAGGTTAAATCTGACTTTCATATTTATAACATTGGTAAGGATATGTAACCCGTCGCTATGCATGAATATACTTCGAAATTTGAATATATTTTTTTTTATATTAAAATTTAGTTCATGCCAGCAACAAATTAAAAACTATTCAGCTGTTTAAATATTATTTAAGTAAATATTTTTGCAGTATTTGATGCAAAAGTTTTTTTAATGGTTGAGAATGGAATGGCAACCACACCTGCACTGTCGGCATACGCTGGCAGGTCACCAGCGTCCTTCGAACTCCACGCAATTCCCCATGGAAACTATCACGGTAAATGTGCAATTCGTAACAATAGGTTAATTGATCTGCTCTCATCCTCACCTATCACCCCTCACTGGTGACCTGTCAGCGTATATCGATAGCACAAGCGGAGCTACTGCTCCATTCTCACCCATTAAAAAAATGGTAGCAAGGCAAATAATGCGCCATCGGTTTAAAATTTTCAACAACTACCGCATAAGGTTTTAAGGAACAAATCGTTTTCGTGTTGACCTCATTTGCGGAGGTTTTTTTTAATGGATGATAATGGAGTGGTGACCCCGCCTGCGCTATCGGTATACATTGACGGGGCACCAGCGAGGGATGTTAGATGGGTAATGAAAAAGAAGGTCAATTGGCCTATTGCGATGAATACACCTCGAATTCAGCATGATGGTTTCCAGGGGGAACCGCATGGAGGTTGACCTGATAAGCTATATTGCTAGCAATAGGGCTAGTAACCTGCATTACTAACAATCCCTCCCCCCACAATTAATAGGTAATTCAATCAAATCATTTTTTTGGGGGAAACGCGTTGTTAGCAATGGAGTTTGCCCCATTACTAGCAATATTATCAGGTCGACCTCCACGTGGTTTAATTCTTGTTGAATTCGTCATCTAACTGACCTGTTTTCATTCTCACCTATCATCTTCCACTGGTGCCCCGCCTGTGTACCGATAGCGCGGGTGGGGTTACCATTCCATTATCAATCATAAATAAAAAATCAAATCAATTATAATAAATCCAAATTTGACCAAATTTATTATTTTTATACTATTTTCATTATTGATTACATTGTGAAATTCGAATGACAATAAGTATTTACCAACTTAAAAAAAACCGTTACTCAACGGATGTATAACCGTTAAAACGTAATACAATAATGTAAATAAACAGGAAGCCGTAGAGATATGGAATCGACATCAAACAATTCGTAACCTATTAATAATACGAATAAAAGCGTGATAAATGTTTGGCAAAATGTATTTATTCAAATGTTTAGAAATATTATATACAGTGACCTAGATAGAATACAATTCACATCTTACAACTGTTTAACTTATCAAATTCTAAATTCAAATAGTTTTTTATTCAAATAGACATGTTTAGAAGCACTTTTAAATCGACATTTTTTTTAATCCACTGCAGCATTTGGAAGGCTGTTATCTGTTGAGAAAAGCCCGAAAGAAACTCAAGAATTACTTATTCACATGTCCCTTCTTAAAGAACCCCATATCGTAGCCTGTAGGGAAAACATCTGCAGAGAAATTATGATTGATATAAAATTACGCAGACATCAATAGTTTAATAATTATTATAAATGCAGTAGACACAAAATAGTCTGCAGGTCTGTTTTTTTCTTTTCTACCTCTTATATATGTAAGGTACTTAGGTATCACGTTTATGGTACCTATGTCTGTTACATTTTTACAATACGACCAAGATTTAATTATAGACACAAAGGGGGCTGATTCTGAGGTCCCATTTCTTTATTTTTCTAATTTACCTTTCGATCTAATATTTTAATAATTTCGCGAAATTACTATTTATGGACACCATAAACTTATAATAATTTGCAACCACCATCAAGAATGGACTTTCTTAATACGATTGTACTTATTTGTTGTTTCATGATTGGTCAATTATAAACCGATTTGGAGAATTCCTTTTTATGTGAAAGGATATACTTACAGATTGGTTCCATAGAAATTTTATCAAAATTTTATCACAATAACGAGTTTTGTCACAATTAAAGTCGTTTTGTTTGTGGAAAACAATCTTTAATTATTACGTCTTAAAATTAGAAAATTAGTTCATATTGGTTCTTCTAATAAAGATGTCGCTGTGATATCAAATTGAAATTTTAATAATAGAAATGGCGCCTAAGAAATGACCCCAATGGTTCCTACATAATATCGTTAACCACAACCAAATAATTAATAAATAAGTTAATACTTAATTGATCGAATATCGAATTGTTCCTAATTATCCCACAACCATTTTCAACAAAAGTTATCCTTTTTACCAAATTGACATACTTTTATATGTTCGGCTATTACATCTACAGTTTCATCACTAATTCTATCGACGTCTCGTAAAATTTGTGTTAAATTTCTCAAAGTGAAGAGCGGTCTCAGCTCGACGCCATTTGCTTTTAGTACGCTAGCGCCACCTTGTTCTCTATCCAGAACTACAACGGCGTGAGTAACTGTCAAACTTTCGTGCCGCAAAGTGCTAACTGTTTCTAGCAAGCTACCACCAGACGTCACTACGTCCTCGACGACAAGACAATTTTGATTCTTCGTGTAGACACCCTCGATTATTTTCTTCGTTGCATACTGCTTTGTTTCCTTCCTTTTCATAATCATCGGGGTGCTGGTGTTGACTGACATGACAGCTGCTAGTGGCAGGGCGGCGTACGGAACACCGCACAATATGTCGTGGTTTATTTCCGTCGCCAAATTCTGTAGGTGTACCGCTACCGCCATCTAAAAATATAAGCAAATGTTAACTTCCTATTTGAATTAATTTGTGCATTTTGTAGAAAATATTGATACTTTTTTTTTTATTGTTTTATGAAAAGTATCACGTGTAATTTGGAATTTAATGAAAATCAATGCCCATCATATTTTAAGAATGAAGTTCGTAGTAAACAGATCGTCAGCTGTTTGTCAAATTAAATATTATTAAAACAAAATATGAAAAATAAAAAACAGTAAAATATGAAAGGTGATATTTTTACGTGTAGAGCGAATCCAAATAATCGAGTAACATGCTCAACGAAAAGTGGACATATCCAAAAAGTCCTTTAATATTACCACAATGGCACTGTCAAAACAGTCTTTAATTATAAATTGACTAATTTAACATAGCACGATCCTCCAACTTTTTACCTCAATCATCATCATTCATCTGTCCACTGCTGGACATAAGCCTCCCCCATAGACTACCATAAAGTACAGTCCTGAGCCACCCGCATCCACTGACTCCCTGCAATGCATTTCAGGTCGTCACTCCATCTAGTGGGAGTCGTCTTACACTGCGTTTGCCCGTACGGTACCATAGCCATATTTTATTTATTTTAAATGGCACATCAACAGTGTAAATACAGTGTAAATTTGGCTATGAATGATTAAAACAAGCTCTCCAATATTATTTTACATTGGTCTTTTCTAATGAGCTGCTAGGAAGTCGTAGCGAGTCTGCACTCTAGCGCATAGAATTATCGCTCGAAAAAGAAGTGGGGCGGTGACTTGCGAAAGTGAAAGTCGAATACGTGAGTCATCCAATATCAGTTTTTAGTCAAACGAGAGATTAATTAATACACATATTAATTTAAATAATATCAACACAGATGTAAATTTAAATTGATATGCAGCGCTTGCATTTGACATTTTTTTTTATGCAACTTAGAATGGTAAACAAATTGATGGCCCACCTGATGTAAAGTGATAACCGTCGCCTATAAACATGAGCAGTACTATGGTAATAACAGAGTATACTGTTTCGCCCATGATATCCCCCATGTGTTACTATTCCTGAGGACTCGGATGTTATTCCTCTGTGCCCAGTAAATTCACGCTATATCCCACCCTTCAAACTGAAATACAGCCATGCACAACTGCTTCACGGTTGAAACACGAATGAGACAGAGGTGCCCAAGCAAACGACTTTTGTACAAAGTCTTCCTCTAGTATTATCTCTTATCTTGCATTTACATACGACATTTTCTAAAAACATAAATTTCATATTAATAAAATTGACAATAACAAAAAATAAAAAAATAAAAATTATATACATATAGGCGACGGTTATCACTTTCGATCAGGCGGGCCGTCAGCTTGTTTGCCATTCCAAGTTAATTCCATTAAATATAACTTCTCACCATAATCTCTGGGTGTGATACAATAATCCTGAAGTCGAAGTAGACGGGCGTCCATCGGCCGTCCATGGCCTCGATGTCCCCGAGCTGCACTGCGCCTGCGTCGAATAGTCGCACTGCTAGATCCTTCAGGGTAGACATCCTAGAACAAGTGTGGCAACAGTTTAAAAACTAATTCATAGTACCAATTAGCTAACTGGAAAAGTTCGCTTTCAGTGATAAGATCGCCCATTGTTTTCTCATTGTGATTATTTCTTGTAATTGTTTGTTTCTATAGCAAGCAATATTTTATTAAACACACTACCGTGTAGTCCCGGTATAGAACGGTCCACACTACCTTTCCGTGGGTGTCGTAAGAGCCGACTAAGGGAGGGCGAGAGATGGGCAGCAGCGTCCCTCTTAAAACATCTACCGTTTACCAGAGGGAGACTTTGTACAAAAGTCGATTGCTTGGGTACCTCTGTCCTATTCGTGTGTCAACCGTGAATCAGTTGTGTTTGCATGGCTGTGGTTCGGTTTGAAGGGTGGGATATGGCGTGAATTTACTGGATCCAGAGAAATAACACCTGAGTCCTCAGGAATGGCAACGCATGGGGAGTATCATGGGCGAAACAGTATACTCTGTTATGTCCATGTTACTGCTCATGTTTATAGGTGACGGTTACCACTTTCCATCAGGTGGGCCGTCAGCTTGTTTGCCATTCTAAGTTGTATAAAAAAAATCTCTAAAGTCTAACTGCGGTTGCCAATCCGCCTGTCAAGCGTGGCAACTATTGGTAAACCCCCCAAGGGGAAGGCTTCTGTTCAGCAATGGGCAGTTAAAAGCTAATATGAGGAGGAAGGTTGCCTGGGGGAGATTTTAGATAAGATGGATAAGGGCGTCCATTGTTTTCTCACTGTGATCATTTCTTGTAATTGTTTGTATCTATTATAAGTTTACTATTGTATGAATAAATGAGTATACTTTATTTGCGTTATACAATATAGGAAATAAACAAGACAATTAATAAGTCTAACGACAGTTTTTTTTTTGATGGGTGAAAATGGTATGGTAACCCCGCCTGCGCTAACGGTATACGCTTGCGGAGCACCAGTGAAGGGTGATAGATGAGAATGAAAACAGGCCAGTTAGCCCATCATGATGAATTCATCAGGCATTATCCATGACAGTTTCCAGGGAGAACCGCGAGGAGGTCGACCCGGTTGGGTATATTGCTAGCAATGGCATTCTTAGTCTCCATTACTAACAATCCTTTTCCCCCCGTAACGATACAGTTGTATAAGTACAGTGAGGCCGTCTTATTGCTGAGAGCAATCTCTTCAAGACAACCTTAGGGTAACGGACTAATTGCTGTACAAGTAGGCATTGTATAATTAAAAAAAAATATTATTATTACTAAAGTAATCCTTTGGAGGAAACGCTAAGGAGTATCTATCTATCTATCTATGATGACAGACTTTTTTTACACATAATTTTTTTTTTAGACAACTTACAATGGCAAACAAGCTGACGGCCCACCTGATGGAAAGTGGTAACCGTCGCCTATAGACATGAGCAGTACCATGGACATAACAGAGTATACTGTTTCACCCATGATACCCCCATGCGTTGCCATTCCTGAGGACTCAGGTGTTATTCCTCTGTACCCAGTAAATTCACGCCATATCCCACCCTTCAAACCGAAACACAGCCATGCAAACACAACTGCTTCGCGGTTGAAACGCGAATGGGACAGAGGTACCCAAGAAATCGACTTTTGTACAAAGCCTCCCTCTGGTTGTAATTGAAGATTACGGCAAAGGAATTTGATGATACCTAGATAAGGTAAAAGGTCTCAAAGCAGAAAGTAATGCTGACCCCAAACGTGAGTAAACAAGATAAGACATGTTGTTATCTATACAGTATTTACTGCTGAATATCTGTTTGTTTGTATTTTCACAGATCGTTTATTAGTGCCCGTAACCGGCGAGCGTGTATGAAAAGATTGATGAATGTGGATGAAGCGAAAGAGGTTTGTTTGAATCGAAGCATTTGGCGTTCCATTGTTTCTGCCTACCCTAATGGGAGACAGGCGTGATAGATATGTATGTATGTATGTATGTTTATTAGTAATTAATTAAAAGGTGCTCGTATGCAAAAGCTTCGAGTTACTCAGCAAGCTATGGAGACGGTTTTTTTTATGGATGATAACGGAATGGTAACTTCGCCTGCGCTAATGGTATTCGCTGACGAGGCACCAGTGAGGGATGATAGGAGAGAACGAAAAAGCAGGTCAATTAGCCCATCGTGATGAATACACCTGAGACCACATATTAGTCGATCCGCCAGGATATATTGCTAGCAATGGGATTGGTAGCCCGCATTAATAACAATCCCTTCCTCCCCTTGGTTTTCCTTAAGTGTTACCATTTCTGAGTACTATAAGGTGTAACCAAAATTTATGCTCCCCAGTTACCCAAATAATATAAATTTGTAAAAAAATTTATTGCTATTTTTTTTGGCTATATACTTATACATATATCTATAGATATCTCTTTATTTAAAAATATTTTTTAATCAAGTAAATTAATTTTGTTAAGGTCTCTCGCTACCGTTAGCGCAGGCGGGGTTAACATTTCCTTATTATCCATAAAAAAAAAAAATACATTGGCTTACCAGTACATATAATTTATAATGTCCATGATATTGTTGTATCTGTACGTGATTAGAATCATATTTCCATAAAATAAACGAACCTCTAATCCTTTACGGTTTAAGAAATAAAAATATATACCATGATTATACAAAATATAAAAAAAAAGTTTATATAAGATATATTAAATCTTTTTATTACCCGAACAACAAGGCTAATGATAAAAATACACTATTTCACTAACGCCATTTCAGTAATCAGGACTAAATAAAATTATAAGCTGATTTATTTAATTATTAATTAATTATTTATAATTACTATTACTAATTTAAAAAAAAAGATTGATCGATAACTTACCTGCATATAAATCAATTAACTAAACAGACACATAAAACAAAATAACCATTAAACACCTATTCAATAATAAAATAAAACATTAAATAAAACACTGAAGAATATAATAAAACATTAAATAAAACACTAAAGAATATAATAAAACATTAAATAAAACACTAGAGAATATAATAAAACATGAAGCTTTTCGATCACGTTATTTTCACAAGAAGTTACAACGAAATATTTGTTTCTTTTTTGTTTTAATTGATTTTTTTTTTAATACAATATATTTATGTTTAAGTGAGCGAATGTGTTTGTATTGAACGGTGGATATAAACAAAGTATGATCGAACGGAATATACCGAGGAATCTCTATCTACTTAACTGTTTAATTATGTATAATTATGTATGTATACATTTACATAATAACATTGACTGTGAATCGGAAAACATCGTATCAAAAATGAGGTCGAATTTTATTATAAAAATAATCAATAGGTATATCTAGAACATTCTATGATTGTTACCTATATAAATATGTACTTTGTGTACAGAGGAATAACACTTGAGTCCTCAGGAATGGCAACGCATGGGGGGTATCATGGGCGAAACAGTATACTCTGTTATGTCCACGGTACTGCTCATGTCTATAGGCGACGGTTACCACTTTCCATCAGGTGGGCCGTCAGCTTGTTTGCCATTCTAAGCTGTATAAAAAAAAACGTTGTGTATATATGTATATGTATTATTGTATACAGATATGTATTTATTTTGATGTTAATTGTATGAGTTACTTATATATGTCAACATATTTATTATTTCTTAATAGAAACATCTATAATGTTTCCTCCTATTATTGTACGCACACTGCCCGCTGGTAATTAATGCTCCTCTCCACTCAGGGTTTGCTGGAAGAGAACTCTTACAGAGTTAAGCTCGCCTGTTGTATATCTTTATTTTATATACATATTATATGTTGTAATTTTTTGTGTACAATAAATAATAATAATAAATTATACTATTAGAGGTTTTATAATACATTATATTATACTGTCCAGGCGTTGAATGGGCTACCCTTTCCTGTGGGTGTCGTAAGAGGCGACTGAGTGAAGTTATTGGTCGAAGGATGGGTAGAAACGTCTTAAAAGATCATCAAAGCCTAACTGCGGTTACCAGGGGGGAAGGGATCGTTAGTAATGGGAAGGTTAGTCCACATTGCTATTAATAGACCCTATCAGGTCGACCTCCACGCGGTTCCCCCTGGAAACTGTCGTGACTAATTTATCGTTGGATTCGTCACGATGGGCCAACTGACCTGCTTCCATCCTCACTTATCATCCCTCACTGGTGCCCCGCCAGTGTATGTCGATAGAGCAGGCCATGCCATTTTCATCCATTAAAAAAAAACTCCTGTTTATTATCTCATACAGATATTAAAAGAAATAAACCGATTTGAGCACTTGTTGCTTTTTGAAGTTGGTTTCGGGGCACCAGTGAGGGATGATTGGTGAGGATGAAAGCAGATCCGTTGGCTCATAGTGATGAATTCGTAAAAAAAAACAATCAAAATGGTGAAACCAAACAGGGGAAACGCGTGGAAGTCGACTTTATAAAGTATATTGTTAGCAATGGGACCTCTAGTCCGATTACTAACAATTCCTCCCCCCCCCCTCCCCCCTTTTGAAGTCGGTTTTTTTTTGATGGGTGAAAATGGTATGGTAACCCCGCCTGCGCTAACGGGATACGCTGGCGGAGCACCAGTGAAGGGTGATAGATGAGAATGAAAACAGGCCAGTTAGCCCATCATGATGAATTCATCAGGAATTAACCATGATAGTTTCCAGGGGGAACCGCGAGGAGGTCGACCTGGTTGGGTATATTGCTAGCAATGCGATTCTCAGTCCCCATTACTAATAATCCCTTCCCCCCAAGTATTTTAAGTTAGTTAAGTCACAGATAATATAATACTATGGTTAAGTTATGCATTTTATGTTATTCTGGCGGCCCGACCCGGCTTCGCACGGGTGGACATTTTTATAACATTCTTAAATGTGGTCATTGTGACATAACGATAATAGTTGGACATATAGTATCGCGAAGTTTTTTGTAATTATTGATATTGTCTTCAATATTTTAGAACATACTTTCTTACAATGGAAGATAGGTAGATACTCTTTATTGTTTCCTCCAAAAGATTACAATAGTAAACTTATTATAGGTACAAACAATTACAAGGAGATTTTAGATTTGTTATAAAATTTAATTCTCGTCATTTAGTGAAATTAAAATAAATATTAAGCAAAGTATTTTATTCAAAAATCTAGGATCTAAAATTAATAAATATATTTTATTTTATTTTATACAACTTAGAATGGCAAACAAGCTGACGGTCCGCCTGATGGAAAGTGGTAACCGTCGCCTATAGACATGAGCAGTACCATGGACATAACAGAGTACACTGTTTCGCCCATGATACCCCCCACGCGTTGCTATTCCTGAGGACTCAGGTGTTATTCCGTTCTGTACCCAGTAAATTCACGCCATATCCCACCCTTGAAACCGAAACACAGTCATGCAAACTATATGCAAATATATCTAAATACTAAATTTAAACTGATATGTCGTGCTTTTTTTTATGTTTTATTACACTCAACGAAAATTCGAATAACTTGTTACCTTATTAGCTGTATCTTGTGGTTTGACCAACGTGCATAAACATATAAAGTATCCTAAGTTCTAAATTATGATATAATCTAACCGTGTATCAAATTTCATTCAAATCCGTTCAGTAGTTTTTGCGTGAAAGAGTAACAAACATACATCTGTACATACGTACATCTTTATAAACATCGTATTTGCAATATTAACGAGATTATCTGATACATTAGTTCATTGACCTTAATAATAGTTACACAGATAATGTAAACTGTAAAGATTCGCAAAAATAGAGTAAACCAATAAACAGTGCGAGGTGAATGCTTGCTTGTAAAATCTAAACAACCTGGAACCGAATTTATACATGTAAGTATAATATATGCTGTAGCCGCGTTTGGCAGGCGGGTTGGCAAGCGCAGTTAAGCTTACCAGAGGGAGACTTTGTACAGAAGTCGATTGCTTGGGTACCTCTGTCCCATTCGTGTTTCAACCGTAAAGCAGTTGTGTTTGCATGGCTGTGTTTCGGTTTGAAGGGTGGGATATGGCGTGAATTTACTGGGTACAAAGGAATAACACCTGAGTCCTCAGAAATGGCAACGAATGGGGGGTATCATGGGCGAAACAGTATACTCTGTTATGTCCATGGTACTGCTCATGTCTATAGGCGACGGTTACCACTTTCCATCAAGTGGGCCGTCAGCTTGTTTGCCATTCTAAGTGGTATCAAAAAAAACACAAAAATACAAATCTTTCCTCTTTTTAATATTAGTATAAATGAGTGTTTAAAAAAATTTTCGTAATAAAAAAATATTCTTGTTCTATCAGAAATATGGTCTGACACCATCGTAGGAAGTTAAATTCTAGATTTAAAATAGCATCTTGTTGCCCCCATCCGCCGATATTTCCTGACGACAGCCTGTCTAGATTCCTGGCGCCATGCCAGAGGTGTCGTTGACTCGGACGCAACCCTGTGTGAAATGGGAATTTTAAACACATTCCTACGCTTTCAAAGATACAATATTAGACGTAAACATTATGGCGATCTACATATAGCGGGAGAGATACAATCTTAATATGTTGCTAGTAGAATATTGTAAAAGGACCTGAGGGAGACTTTGTACAAAAGTCGATTGCTTGGGTACTTCTGTCCTATTCGTGTTTCAACCGTGAAGCAGTTGTGTTTGCATGGCTGTGTTTTGGTTTGAAAGGTGGGATATGGCGTGAATTTACTGGGTACAGAGGAATACACAAGTACCATGGACATAACAGAGTATACTGTTTCGCCCATGATACCCCCCATGCGTTGCCATTCCTGAGGACTCACCTCAGGAATGGCAACGCATGGGGGGTATCATGGGCGAAACAGTATACTCTGTTATGTCCATAGTACTGCTCATGTCTATAGGCGACGGTTACCACTTTCCATCAGGTGGGTTGTCAGCTTGTTTGCCATTCTAAGTTGTATAAAAAAAAACAATGTTAAAACATGGGAGATATTTGTGAAAAATTGATATGAAGCGTCTTAATAAAAAGTAAAGTTTATTTTTATTTTTATGCAACTTAAAACGGCAAACAAGCTGACGGCCCACCTGATGGAAAGTGGTAACCGTCGCCTACTGCTCGTACTTTACTTTGTAACGCGCCGTTGCAATGTTACGCTAAAACCGACACAGCAAGCGCAACCAACCAATGAGATAGAGAAAAGTATAGATATAGGATGTTTTACATGCATTTACTAATTTATTTTAACAATTTTTTTTTAATAATTTCATATTACTTCGACACGAAATTCCTTTTTTATCGTAATGTATATATCTAATACTTATGCCCTGTGGCAGGGAATGCAGATAATTTGGTAACACCTTAACTCATATTGATATTTTAAATCTAGTATAGATATAGAGGGGGGAAAGGGATTGTTAGTAATGGAGACTGTGAATCCCATTGCTAGCAATATACCCAACCAGGTCGACCTCCTCGCGGTTCCGCCTGGAAACTATCATGGTTAATTCCTGATGAATTCATCATGACGGGCTAACTGGCCTGTTTTCATTCTCATCTATCACCCTTCACTGGTGCTCCGCCAGCGTATCCCGTTAGCGCACGCGGGGTTACCATACCATTTTCACCCATCAAAAAAAATATAAATAATCTTTATAGATTATAAAAAAAAAATATAACCAATACGTGAGCAAAAAAATACACTAGAATTGATAACTTCCTATTTTTTTTTGTAAACTTATCAGTCTTCGAGATTGATAAGTTTATAAACACACACTTCTTACAACTTTTTTTAATGTTGGCAAAGGTTTTGTACGTTTCACAATTGGCAGGGCCGTAGATATTCGACGAGAGTGGAGCGGGTGTCCGCGGCGGGCGTCCGCGGCGGGCGTCCGCAGCGGGCATCCGCGGCGGGCGTTTGCTTTTTGTACAATTTGCCGCGTCTCGAAATAACGGTAGGTAACATATCACTGACAGATTGAATTGGTGTCTGTGTCATGTAACATTTATTGATTCTAGAGATTGATCTTGATTGGAAATATTGACACTTGATTGAATATGTAATTTATCATGATATTATGGAATTTATCTAGTATTTTTTTCTAATGGATGATAATAGAATGGTTACCCCGCCTGCGATATCGGTATACACTAACAGGGCACTAGTGAGAGATGATAAGTGAGAATGAAACAGGTCAGTTAGCCCACTGTGACGAATCTAACAATAAATCAATCACATTAGTTTCTAGGGGGAACCACGAGGAGGTCGACCTGATAGGGTATATTGCTAGCAATGGGGTTACTAATACCCATTACTAACAATCCCTTCTACCCCAATATTTAGTATTATACAGCGAACGCTCTATATAAGCAACATTCTTTATATTTTATTTATTCTACTCAGCTGAGTTAGTAAATTTATTATTGTTCGTTATTCGTCATTGAACTTAAAAAGTAAAATTGTGTTTTTGATTTCCGCGCATTGTTTGAGAAAGTACTATACAAGCCTTGGGCACAACTAGGCATTGATGGGCTCAC